ACTTAAAAGAGAGAGAGAGACAGAGAGAGAGAGAATTCTTGTGGGCTGTTTGACCTTCCTGTTCTAGACAGTGTCCCTTGGCACGAGTTAAACCCTCTCTTGGCTCCTCTCGGCAGGAGACACACACATTTTCCCAGAGCAGCAGCATCCTTTATCCACAGACCATTTCAGAAATGTTATCTCTAAATTGCCAGCAGAGGTAGAAAGGAATTTTACTGAAACTGTTGACAGAGCAAAGCTGCTGCCAGATAAAAATCTTGCTACTTGAAACTCCTGGGCTGCAGGTTTTGGAGTTAACACTCAGTGCATGGTGCCAGGCGTGGTGGCGCACACCTGTAATCCCAGCACTTGGGAGGCTGAGGCAGGAGGATCACTGTGAGTTCGAGCCCAGCCTGGGCTACATAGTGAGTTCTAGGTCAATCTCAACTATATAGTGAGACCCTGTCTCAAAAAAAAAAAAAAAAAAAAAAAAAAAAAAAAAAAAAAAAAGCAGTCAGTGCATGGGGCACAGAGAGTAACTTCAACAGGGCGACACCTCTCCGTGCTGCCTGGGCAGAGTTGACTGAGGACACGGTGGTAGTGGGGCAGGGAGGAGCCATCCCTGGTTCACACAGCCGATATTTTTGCTGCCCTGTGGTGGTTTCTCAGATAACAAATATGGCTATGTCACTTGCTACATGGTCTTTGTCCCTTGCCCTCAGGATATAGTCCAAGCTCCTCAGCCTGGCGCCAGAGATTCTTCCCTGGCCCCAGCACCTTCCTTGCTGTCCCTCTGCCCTGCCCTTATGGTCCAGCAATACTGCACTATTTATGGTTGTCCCAACCATCGTGTAAGCCCCCTTGGATGTGACGGACCTCTCTGCGTGTCCCCTTTCATACTTGAGGTCACTTTCTCCAGGATGCCTTCTCTAGACTGAACTAGATGCCGCTTTTCTGTCTGCCCTTCTAAAATGTGAGTTTTGTGAGGACAAGCATGGTGATGTTTACAGCTAGATTATCCAGAACCCAGCGTGGGGCCTGCCTGGAACCCCGTTCTTGAGAGCCATTTGGGGATAGAAGACCTCAAGGGGCGGGCGCTCATCCAAGGGGAAGGTGAGCGAAAGGGGCAGGGCCAAACTTTCAAACTCTTCAGTGGTGTGAGCCCCTCTCTTCCAGAGGAGAGAAGGAGGGGTCCGGGAGGCTGGAAGGAAACCTCGGGGTATTGAATAACTCATCCTGCTCCCAACAGGATCAACTACTGCATTCTGCTCTGGCATTTATATTCCATCATTGCTAGAAGCACTGCCTCTCTTTGGCCTCTTCCCTTCAGCCTCCTTTTAAACAAACAAACCTTGAAATAATCGTAGTTTTATAGCTGGTTTAAAAACACTAACAAGAGCCGGGCTTGGTGGTGCACGCCTGTAATCCCAGCACTCGGGAGGCTGAGGCAGGAGGATCCCTGTGAGTTCGAGACCAGCCTGGGCTACATAGTGAGTTCCAGGTCAGTCTCGACTACATAGTGAGACCCTGTCTCACCCCCCCCCCAAAAAAAGACCAAACTAATCACACATGTAGGTAGGCTTATAGTAGAAGTGGCCCTTCTCCTGTCCCTGCGCTCCTGAAGCCTAGCCCCACCAGAGACAATGATGTTTTGCTCTTTTGGCTATTTTCTTCCAGTAGCTTTCTTTACATCTCTGTCACTCTGTGACTTAGCAGGTGGAACTCTTCATAAAGCACGCAGATGACCCTGCCACCTGCTCTGGTCTTAACAGTGCCCTTTGGAATGAGGTCAGCCTTCTTCACAGGGATAACACGCCTGCCTCTGCCGCCCCTCCTGCCACCACTAGCTACTTTAAAAAAAAAACAACTTCTTTTTTGTTTTTCCTTGCCTGTGTGAGGTCTCATTTTTTTCTCTGTCTTCAAGATGTCCATGGTCTGGTATTTGTATTTGTGTGGTCCTCTCCCTTGGGATGTGGCCCAGACCTTAGGCACCTGCGTCTAAGGAGGGAGCGCGTCCGAAGTAATAGGGTGCCCACCCTCTCTTGCTTGTCCTGAGAGAGGCCATCTGCTGGGCCTTGCACTGCCTTGGGGGTGGTGGAGAACCTGATCACCACAGCAAGGGCTCACCAGGAGTCAAATCCCGACAACAGCTGTGTAAAGGCGACCCGCTCCCAGGCAAGTCATCGCGGCCCTGGCGGAAGCCTCCCCTGCATCCTTGTGAGCAAACAAGCTCAGCCCAGAATCCTGACCCGAAGACACTGTGAGATAATAAATGTTTGTTGTCCTGAGCTGCTAAAATTTCAGATAACTTGTTACCCAACCATCCATAACTGATATAATCAGTGTCATATATTTTTCTTCTCATGGTCTTTGATATCCCCCCCAACTTTTCCTTCCCATAAAGCATCAAAAACTATTTTAATAATTTTAGCAGATTGAGTGTTCCTGCTGCATCAGCTGCTGTGCTCGTATAATCGTATACAAAATATCACACCTGTGTAGGACTGATTAGGACACTCAATGTGTCCTTTTTTGATTAGGTGGTGCTGGGGTTTGCCCCAGGGACCTGCACGTTCTAGGCAAGTGCTGAGCTACACCCCCAGCCCTCTTTCCTCTTGCACAGCATTTTCAGGCTTCATTTCAGACACGGGCGCCCTTAAGTACCCCCTCGTATCTGTCATGACGCTGTGCCTTCCTCCCTACCCAAAGGAAATCCTAAAGGACTCAAGTGTTGGCATAAGCAACCAGCAGCAGCTGCCCAGAGCAATGGAACCACGCACACACTTGTATTTATTTCCACGGGACTCTGGGACTGTGCTTTAGGGTCCTAAAACAACAGACAGCACTGAACAATAGAGCATGCGCAGCTGCTCTGAAAATCCAGGTCCTCCCAGCTGTGTGCTGCACAGTGGAGCTGCAAAATGAAATGTCTTTCCCCTCCCCCGAGTATTATGGCTTGAACCTCGTGCCTTTGTGCTGGCTATAACCTCAGCCCCTTTTTATTTATTTTGAGACAGGATCTTGCAAAGTTGCTTATGATCCTCCTGCCTCAGCCTCCCAGAGTGCTGGGATTACAAGCATGTGCCATCCTACCTGCCAATATTTTTGTTTTCAGCAAATATCCTAGCCTCTCTAAAGCCAAATAAGTGTAATTCTTCTAGGTGGACAGAATTCAAATATTTTCTTTTCTTTGGGAAGTGTCTTTCCCCAATTGTTTCCATGAACCACAAGAACACTGGACCTTGTCCTGTAGTCAGGCTTTTCACCTGTCCCCAAACCCCGTCCCTAAGTGGAAAGCCTTCCTGAGTGTCCCTAACTACACAGCACTTCTGAGCTCTGGCTGAAGTGTCCCCTTTCCCGGGCAGCTTTGCCTGAGGCTCTGTGGGGCAAGGACTTGCACCCCCACCCTGTGGTGTCCTCACGAACCGGTCTCAGCCCTAGGACACAGTAAGCACCATCAACAATTGTTAAGGGACTCGATATGTTGGTTTTAAAGCACTGTTGCCTCAAGAACTGAAATCTGTCACCCTTAATGAAGGTGAACAACCAACATTCATCAAGAGCTGACTGAGTGTGAAACATATTGCATAATTTCATCCAGTCCTTGAAACCGTAAATGGATACTGCTATCCCCATTTTACAAGTAAGGAAACTAAACCTCAGAATAAAATAACTTGTCCCAAACCACGCAGTGTAGAAGCCATAAAACACCAAATGCAAACCTTTAACAATGATGCGATGCCATCGCTTTCTTCATATTTTTGTTAACTTTTAATATTTTAGAAATTTTAAAAAATGCACAAAAATGTACAGGAGAAAAAAGTCACCCCTGTTCCCAACAATCACAATTTTAACTAATGTTAATATCTTGGCATATTTTCTTTCTTTTAAAATTTTTTGTACTGTCTTTGCTGTGAATATTCAAACGAGCATAATGAAATCCCCAAAGCCATTTATAATAAACGGCAGAGTGGGGTTTTGCATCCAGCAGCAGTGTTGGGAAGGCTTTATTCCCACGATGGCGACAGATAAGTCTGGTTGTGTGGTGGAAAAGGGAACCTTCTGGGTCAGCACTGCCTGCCAATGCTCCTGATGTGGGTATAAAAGAACTCCTTCCGCCAGTGTGCTACTCGGCTTTCTGTTGCTGTGACAAAATAGCTGAGACCATCCACTTTAAGAGGGGAAAGGTTAGTTTTGGTTCACAGTTTCTCAGGTTCCAGTTCCTGGTCACTTGGTCTTGTGGCTCTGGGACTGTGGCAGCGCAGCCCATCATGGTGGGGACACGTGGAGGAGGAGGCGCTCACCTCGTGGTAGCTGGGAGGCAAAACAGACAACAAAAGGGCGGGGGGCCCAGTATCCTCTCCAGCGGCACACCACCGGCAGCCTAACATCCTTCGACCACCTCCCAGTAGAGCTACCCTGGGGACCAAGCCTTCAATTATTTCAGGGCTGTTCCAGATCCAGATTATGGCATCCAGGAAATTCTGGCCTTGTGAAAAAGAACCTAAGCTCTCCTCGTACCCCACCTGCTAAGGCAGAGGGAACCTTCTTCTGGGAGGACACCAGAGATGTCATCCCCTCTGGGGGGCAGCCTTGGCTCCTTCCTTTTATTCAGTCCTGGGGTGTGTGTGTGTGTGTGTGTGTGTGTGTGTGTGTGCGCGCGCGCGTGTGTGTGTGTGTGTGTGACAACAAACACAAGCGAAGTGGGCAGCCCTCTCCCCCGCCCTGCTTGTGGCGTGCCCCTCACTGTGCCTACCTGCCTTTGATGCTGCCTGCACACCTCATGCTTCCATTTACTTGACCTGTTTACATCTCTCCCTTCCTGTCTGACTGCACTTTTCTCAAGGGCAGTGACGCACCTTTCTCTTTGCAGTATTTAGCACATTGGACATATAAAAGGTTCTCACGGGCCGGAGATTTAGTGCAGTGGTTCTGCTGCCTGCCTTGCAAGCACAAGGACCTGAGTTCGACCCCTGGTGCCAGAAAAAAAAAAAAAAAAAAAAAAAAAAAAAGGTACTCATAATTGGACTTATTGGCAGAGTGAAGGTGATAACATTTATCTTTGGGTTTGGTATACAGATCAAATGGGTTCATGTGTGCTGAACACCTTAATCTAGCAAATGAGCCCGCAATGTTTCTGGACCAAGAGGCGGGTCAAGGGACCTGGATTCTGTGCTGAGCTTTGCCGCAGTCCTAGAGCAAGCTCTCAGCCTCTGTGTCACGGTGTTCTCCTCTCTCAGGAGAAAGTCCCACCTACCAGAACCGCTGAGCATTTTCCGTAAGAAACAACACACCCAGAGCTACGTGGTGCACAGTAAGTCTTATGGCTCCCTCTTCACACTGAAAGCCACTTTTAGCCGTGGCCATAGGGGTGGATGGCAGCCAGCACCCAGGTCCATACTGAGCCCAAACCAGACTCAGACTGGAAAGTGTGTGTTAGTCCATGCTCCATCACTGTACCACACATCCAAGATAATCAACTTATAAACAAAAAAGGTTTATTTTGGCCCACAGTTATGGAGGTTTTGGTCCATGATCCATTGGTCCTGTTGTTTTGGGCCTGTGGTGAGGAGGCCATCATGGTGGGCAGCAAAACCCACTCACTTCAGGGCCAGGAAGGGAAGGAGAGAGAGACAATCCCACAATCCCCATCAAGGGCACGGGCACCGGTGATCTGAAGATCTTCTGCCAGGTCCCACTTCAGAAGGGTTTCATCACCTCCCAGCATTGACACAGGCTGGGGACTAAGCTTGTAACATGTCATCACCAGGGAACATTCCAGATCCAAGACAGCACATGGGTACTGGCATCAGGACCAGCCTAAGAGTCTCCCACCCAGAATCACAGGGACAGGAAGCTAAAGGACAGTGTTAGTTACTTTTCTTGTCGCTGAGACAAAATACCTGATCCCCAAAGTTAAAGGAGGAAAGGTTTATTTGTTTCAGTCCACAACTGACTGGCTCCGAGGTAGGTTGTACGGCAGACAGGCATCACAGAAAAGAAACAACATGATGCCTACAGGGTAGCAAAAGCAACAAGGAACCTTAAGAGCATCTTGCTGCCCCTTTAATCTTATGCAGATTACTTAGGGGAAGTAGCATTTACACGCTCAATCCTAGTGCCTAGCAGTGTACCATGAATCAATTCCAGAGAAAGCGCCACATATGACTGCATGGGGCTTTGGGGGTGGGAGGACATCAAGACACAGGTCATAACGAGGACTCGGCCTCCACACCAAAAGGTACACAGCTCCAAGGTGCCTGTTTTCTCCCCCAGCGAGAGTGTCCAAGTCTTTCTAAAAAGATAAATCACCCTGCAACAACAGAGACAAAGAGCAAAAATGCATTCTTCTGAATCAGGATGTTCTGTGATGTTTATAATTGGCAAGGTCACCCAGAACAGGACAGAATCCCAGGCAGTGCTGGAGAAGCAGGACAGACTTGGGATCCTAAGGAAAAATCACCTCTGCCCAGCTCTGGGAGAGCTGGGGCTTCTTTGGCGGGTGTCCCTGAGCTGGCATCTTTCCGAAGTTTTCAGTGCCAGTCCCTTAAACACCTGTGGGAACCCAAGGCCTTCCGGACAGTGGGTGCTGTGTGGCCTTTGCTAGATCTTCTGCAGGTCCTCAGGGCCGAAGGATGCAGGCAGCAGCTCCTGGACTGTTCTGACCACATAAGTACCATCTGCCTTGGTCATGTACACGGCCCAGTCAGTGCCAAACTGGAAAAGAAACAAAGCTAGCATGAGAGAGGTAGCAGGGCTGAGGGGTTAGGAGGGACCTGGGTTTGAGTCTGACTTTAAAACTTACTAATGATTCTCCCTGGGCCTTGGTTTTCTCATCTGTAAAATGGGAATGACAGGGCTGGGGATTTAGCCCAATGGTTCCGGTGCCTGCCTTGCAAGCACAAGGGCCCAAGTTCCATAGAACACTGATAAGGACTTAACGTGGTGCCCAGAGCATTGTGAACCAGCCATAAAAACTCCACTGAGGACCCACTAGGGCTTTGAAGAGTAGTACTGGCCCCGAGAGCCAGACTACCTTCTGCTGTGACAGATGGCAACTAACACCAACTCCGCTTGTTTCTCTTTTACTCCTCAAACCAAGAGAAGGTGCTACACCTGCCTTGTTACACACTGGATACGCCCCCGGCGCTATCTCCTTACCCAACCCAGGACCCAAGGGCTGTCTTTAGACCTATTTTACTGTTGAGCAGAGCAAAGCTCAGCAGGGTAAAATCAGCAAAGGTGAGTTGGTCTCCTGATCTTTCTCCTGCGATTTGAGGGCACCATTTGCTTGCTGCGACCTCAGGCGAATGACACCTATTTGGGGCTCAGCATCTTGATGTGTGTTCTGGCTCTATAAATGGAAGAAGGGGGCCATGGATTTAGCTCAGTGGCCGATTTAGCCACCACCACCTGGCTCGCAAGAGGAAGGTCCCAAGTTCAATCCCTGGTACCAAAAACAAAACAAAACAGAAATGAGGGCTAGGGATTTAGCTTAGTGGTTCTGCTACCTGCCTTGCAAGTGCAAGGACCCGAGTTCGATCCCTGGTACAAAAACAAAACAAAAAAACAAAACTCAAAACAAAACAGAAGTGGAAGAAGGGACTAAACAGTGGGTAGGTGGAGGGTTAAGTCAGTGGGAGCAAGGCTGAGAGCCCTAAAATTGGAGTCCAGAGGCCCAGGTTCTACCTGGCTAGGTATGGTAAACTTTAGGCATGGTTTGTGGGAAGCATCTGTGTGCAGACACTGGCACATAGTAGGTGCTCAGTTAACGGTGGTCACTCTGATTGTGTGTGGTGGTTACTCTGATAGGCCTGCAGCCTATTGCTCTCTGTGCTCTGCCCAAGTTATTACCAGACACCATCAATCTTCTGGCTCTTTCAGAGTTGATGTTTTAAAAGAGGGCATTTTTCTACTTGGCAAGCTGTGCCTGAAGGTATGGGCGAAGCTGAGTGCTGGTGAATTTCAATGCCAAGTCTCTGGTCCCCAAGCCTCATCTCCTATTATCTGCATTTTGTTTTCCCTTTGCCTTTTTCTCCTCCAGCTTTTCCATTGCCTGTTCTCATCTGCCAACCTCTCATCTGTTTGGAAAAAACAGCAACAAGCGGTTGGGCCAAGTGGGGGCCTTGAGAGCCAGAGTCTCTGTGCTGTGTTGTGGTTTCCCAACGTGACCTTAAGACTGCCAGTGCAGTGGGTAGCTGTCTACCTCTCTAAAGTAAGATGAATTCTATAGTGTGACTGCAGCGCCTTCAGGGTGACATATCTCACATGGATCTGGGAAATGCATCCTGCAGACTGCTTAGATTGCAGTCCTTATACAAAGCAGAAGGAGATGGAGGTATCGACGCCTCCAGATACCCTGAAACCAGGCAGAAACACAAAGCTGAAACGATCCGCTTTCTTCCAGACACAGCTCCAAAAGCAGGAACTCTCAAGGAACAGGCAGCTGCCATACAATAAAGTCCTGCCCCGCTTGCTCATGATTTTTCCTGTTATATCTTAGCCGATGCATGAATGAATGGGCATAGCAGTTTTCCAATAAAACTTTATTTACAGAAACAAGCAGTGGGCCCACCACTGATCTAGGGTACCTCCTGTTGTTCTCTGTCACTCAATATATTTTCCCACCATTGTCCTCTTTACTCTCAGAAACCCCCGCTGCTTGTTTATTTTGCTTTCTGTTTATTGTTGGTCCTACACCAGGCGGGGAGGCAGGGCCTGGTCTGTCTTGGCCCCAGAGCTGGCTCAGGCGGTGAGAGCCTGACACCAGTGACGCTAGCTCAGTAAGTACTGCTAGATGAAGGCATTGTTTCCGTGACTTATGCAGGCTCGGGAACGCCTAGGAGTCAACCAGCAGAGCAAACAGGACAGGGGCTGTGTCTCCTACCTGGCAGCTGGGCTTTGCTCCTGCAGCCTGGGATATACATTTATCACCGTTTACGTTCCAGGAAGAAAGAGAAGCTCTTACCTCTCTCATCACTTGCCTGCAAGCCCCACATGGTGAGATGAAATCATCTTGCAAGTCACTGGGGAAACAGAGAATCGAACTTAGATCAGTCTGTCCTGAGGCACCAGGACATTTACCAAGATTGGGATGTTGAGTCTCTGCCCTGTCCCAGATCGGGTCAGACCCCGCCAGGCAGTTCCTGGTCCACAGAGGCTGAAAGGTGGCCTGGTGGCTTTCTACACATCACAAGGGGAGGGCATTCTGTAAACAGCGTGCAATGACTGTCACCCACATCCTGGGGTTAAGAAAGAGCTGTCTCTGGGTTTTCAAGAGATGGCTCAGCCTGGCTGGTGATACAGAACACTGGATGACTCGTTATATTAAACAAAATGTGGGAAGATCACATAGTAAGAAGGAACAAGCCTTGCCACCAGAGTGAGAGAAAATAGAGGAGGTGGCATTGGCCCTGCCCTTGGAAGAAAAATAAAGTTCATCCGTTGCCACTTAGCAAGCAACTACTATACCAAGTATTTGACATCATTCAGTTTTCAGGTTAGCCTGAGTGTCACAGTGGTCATTTTATGGATGAGGAAATTGAGTGAGGTGAAGTAACAGAGATGACATTCTAAAGCCCAGGATTTTTCTGTGTTGGAGGCAGAGGAAGTAAATAGCTATGTGTGCAGAGGTCCTGCATACGGAAGAGAAAGTTTGGCTCCTTGCACCTGAGAAATCCAGGAGAAGAGATGCTCATAGCTAAGGCTTGCCAGTAAGAGTTCAGGCACCCACAGGCAGCCGTCTGGCTCTGCAGGGGACAGAGGCAGATGGCCTGAGAAGGTAGGCTTTCCTGTAGGAGCCTCCATTCCTGCTGCTGAGCCAGACGGTAAGCCAGGAGTCACCACCGCCTTCGCCCTTCTGGACTCAGAGCTTTGCGAGGTCCGTGGAACAGCATGTGATTTAAACTTGACTTTTGGACTGGGCTTTCATTTCGCTGACTAAGCGTGACTTAGAGTCATTTTAACCCAACCACGGCTCATTTCTTTGTCTGCAAAAGTGAGTAATGACGTCATCCATTTTGTTGGAACGTAAGAGGACAAACAGATAAGGTGTCTGAAAGGCTCTGAGACCTTTAGAATGCTATACACATATTATTATGGTATGTACTATTTTCTGGCCACTTTCTCCCTTACATATACGGGTACTGTCACAATTTCTGTCCTTTATCACATACAGTTTATTATATAATATGTGCTCTATGTATTACAGTTAGTTCTGCTATACATTAACAACAATTGTTATATCATTTCATATGTGTCTGGAATATGCCAAACATCCTGGAGAGCAATCTATAGGGCATCATCTCATTTTAGTTGGCAAATATTTATTGAGTAGCTATTATGTGCCAGGCTCTGTCCCTGGTCCTGGGGGAAGAGCAGTAAACAAAACAGAGGAAATTCATTGTACACAGAAGTTTATAGACTAGTGAGAGGAGCCAGATAGCCAGGAAACCCATCAACCAGCCAACTGCTCACCGAGCCAACAACTAATCAACCAGCCGACATCAAACAGAGACAGGCATAGAGGCTAAGATAGAATAAAGCAGCAGAGGGGACTAAGCATGAAGAGGTGCTATTTCACCTTTTATATGTGGGGGCCCTGTCAAAGAATGGCTCTGCTCCATGAAAAGGTGGGTGCTCTCAGAGCATGCCTGCAGCTTCAGAAGAAAAAGCCCAGAGGAACATGAGAGGGTGGGACTCAGTTACTGGGTGACAGCTGGTGTGGCCAGAGCTTCTCGCAAGGCCTTTGGAGGTTGGAGTGCACATTGCCCTTCGTCCTACCCATGTTGACCAAGGGCCTGAAATAACCCTATCAACAAAGAGTCCCTGCCTTCAGGGGCTGCCCAGAGGCGCTGGAACAACGGCTGTCTGCGGGAGAGGCGCTCTGAGTGACACTCAGCCTGCCTTCCTGGACCTGCTAGGCCCCGTATGATTTGGTTCCTGCACAGCTTGCTACTTCCTTCCTCATCCTGTGGCTTGGATGTTCAACTACCCAATGGACAGCTCACTGGACAAGATGACCTACAATCATGCATACTATGGAGTTCAGCCATCAAAAGTCACAAGATGGTGTGCACAGGCAGCGCAGTTCTGAGCAGAACAATGGCTTATGCATACAGTGAACTACTCGTGCCAGGCACTGTGCCAGGACCTTATGTACATGAGCTCATTTAACCCCTGACAGCTCTCAAAAGTGTGAGGGGCACACAGGTGCATGCTTTGGATACTGAAAGGTGAAGCAACTTGCCCAGGGTCACAGAAACAGTGAGTGGCAGAACCAAGATCTGAGCCTAGAATTTGTGTTCTCTGCCGTTAGCATTCTGTGTGCAGTGACTTTAACGATATCCTTTCATGAGACCCCTGAATAGCCCCATTACTGGATCATGCTGACAAGCCTGAGGTTGACAGTAAAGCAGGATCTGAAACCAGGCCTCACCAACCCTGGAGCCTGAGCTTGTAACCATCAGCCAAAGCTCCTGCCAAGCGTTAAGTTGAACAGTCCGACCTCCCTCTCCCCTGCCATTCACCTTGCCCACTTTTCACTGTGTTTTGAAGGTTTTCTGGGGTTTGTGCTGACTTTGGTCACATGCTGAGGTCAGACTTATCGGGCTATGGACTCTGATGAGTGCATCTGGGCCCCTGGCAGGGCAGACTCATCGCTAAAAGCCAAGTCGACCGTCGCTCTGCAGACACCCATGCCTCTCCTGGGTACAGTCTCCACCCTTCACGATCTCAGAGGGAATTTCTGGCTGTTCAGCCCTGTCCAGTGTTAACAAGGCAGTTGGCGTTTCCTGTTCACCTTCGAAATCCATGCTCTCAATTTAACAAGCCGTTAACGCAATAATGGCTACATTTCTGGCTCAGGGATGTGGGCGCCGGCTGACTATACAGAGTAGAGAAGTCGGATGTTGGGGAAAATGCAGGTTTTGTGTCACTAAGGACATTCACGAATCATTGTTAGCAGTACCTGGTCATGTTTAAAAGTAAATAATGACCGGCTGGGGATTTAGGTCAGTGGTTCTGTCGCCTGCCTCGCAAGCACAAGGACCTGAGTTCAATCCCTGGTACTAAAAAAAAAAAAAAAAAAAAAAAAAAAAAAAAAAGTAAATAATGACCAAGAGAAAAAGCTTGTCTTTTGGAAAGTTCTAGCAAAGCCAGGCTACTGTGCCATTATCCTTTTGTTGACTTTGGTTGCTCCCCAGACTATCATTATTTTCTTGGATCAGCTTTGAAATTGAGTTATTTCTCCCCGCTTCTCATACAGTGCAACTCACATCCTGATCTCTGCTCCTCTGCACGAAATGTTCCCAGAACAGCTTCATTTATCCTCAGAAGCTGAAGGGAAGCCAGGACAGAGATCAGGAGCAAAGTGACTCTCGGGAGCTGGGGCCTTTCTCCCTCAGCACGCCCTTGGCACAGGTCCCTCGGAAATAACCCTTGAATAAGCCGGAGCATCTCAGGGACAGACTGCGACCAAGTTCAGGGTCTTAGAAAAGCCCCATGGGCTTGTGTCTGTTGTTCGGCCTCCACTGGCCTTGCTCTAAGCCCCTGCAATGTTACTTGCAGCAAGTTCTGCAGGAAGGGGCTGAAGCTCTGTCCCAGTAAAGCAGCAGTTTGTTCGCAGTATGTGACCCGCGGGGCCAAGTATCCCCAAAGTCCAACAGCCACGTAGCCCCTTTGAAGGTGGGTTAAGCATTTTTATGCCATTTTCCCTCAAACATTTAACTCACTAAGAACACTGCCTCAGAAAATGCACAGGGGCACAGAAAAGGAATTCACCACTGAAACATGAAATCAGCCCGTGTGGTGGTGCATACTTGCACCCCCAGTGCTCTGGGAGGTTGAAGCAGGAGGACAGCTAGTTCAAGCCCAGCCTAGGCAACTTAGTGACTTACTGAGACCCTGTCTCAAAATAAAAAAATAAAAATAAAAAGGACTGGGAATGTAGCTCAGTGCAAAAGCCCTGGATTCAGTCTCCAGTACTGCAAATCAGTGAATCAAGCAATCAATCAATTAAATTGATGGACTGACAGGGGTCCGAGTTAGGAAAAGAGTTCATTCATGCGTCTGAATCTTGAAACCCAAGTATGGGTCCAGTGCCATCAAGAACCCAGTATGGTCACTTGGGGTAAGCCAGTGGGAGCTAGGATATTTACGTCTGCGCCACATAGAGAATTGGCTGGAGCTCTTGTTCACCCAGAAGCAGAGATGGAAGCTGATTAGTTTGCATCATAATTGGTGATTACCTGGCTTGTCTTTGTGTCCTGGTTCTGAGCACCGGCTTGTGAGAGATCTGTGAGCAGCTCATTCGGAACCCCACATCAGCTCAAGGTGGGTGGGTAAGAGAGGATCTAGCATCCTGGCACAGCATGGCACCGTGGAATGAGCCCTGGGTGAAGCTCTTGCACCTGACTTCTGGCCTAGCTTTTCTCGTAGGAAAGCTGTTCAACTTCTCTAGATCTGTTTTCTCAGCTATAAAATGGGGATAGAGGCAAGAGAATCTGACTTTCACTTCCCTCCAGCTGTGGCTTTGTTTCTGCCGTGTCTCTGGGGGATTCTGTTGTACTCTGTGTTGTTGCAGCAGAGACATACTATACATGCCCTTGTGTTAGAGTTGCCTTCCTTTTTCACCCACCCCATGATCTCAGAGTCTATTTTCTGCTTATCTATCGATCCTCAGCACTTAGCCCAGGGGCCTTTATCTGTGTCCGGCACACAGACGTACACAGTAGACAAGCACCTGATGGATGAATGGATGATTGGTGCACGGGGGCTGTTGGTTGAAGCAGTGTGTGTCATCACCGTGACTTGCCTGTCCCGCTCACCTGGAGATAGCAATGGCCCTGAAGTCCTTGTGCCCTTCAGAGATGGCCTTCTGGATTGCAGTCCGTTCAGCACAGATGCCCAGTGCATAGCAGGCGTTTTCTACATTGCATCCTGGGAAGAGAGGAGAGCCACTTCCTGCTGCATATGTTGTAAAAGACTCACCCCATTCCAGGATGGGGGGAGGGAGATGGGGACCTGAAGTATAGGAGACTCTTGGGCCCTTATTCAGTGTCCTTCCCCAGGAATGCTCACTGTCTGCATTTCTCCAACACCTCCATCATGGTCGGCTGGCTCCAAGGCGGAAACAGCCTAGGGGACGGGCACAGTGGAGGAAAGCGGCCAATGGGGTGTGTTCCAAAGTGACCTGGGAAACTTTTGCGTCACAGATTGCTTGCCTATTATTTCCTCTCTCTCTGTCTTCCGTAGTCTGGAAGGTGAAGGTGGAAGGGTGGACGGCTTTGGCCGTGTGGTTTATGTCATAAGAATGGAGACATGACAGAGTTGTCTATTTGCCCTGAGTCAACTCCTAATCTGAATTACGACGTAAGAGAAAAACAGAATTCCACACCATGCTTGAATCACTGTTCTTTGGGATCTTTTTGTTATGCAGTATAACTTACACTTGTTGGAAGCTCTCCCTCCTTCCTTTTCCTGCTGTGAGATTTTAGCGCTGTTATACTTTATTACTCTACCTTGCATATTGTGGTGGTGGTTATAAGGTTGGGTGGGGTAGGGAATTATTTAGTTTCTGACCCCTTAACCAGCAGAGTCACATCTGGACCCAAGGAAGAGGGCTACGAAACACTGTGAGACCCTGCTTCTGAGCTGGAGGTGGTGACTGGGTGGGACTCTGGGTCACCTTCATTTCATGGTTTGGATCTAAAATATCCCCCAAAAGTCATGTGTCTGGAGGTGGGGCCTGGTTGGAAGAGGTGGGACACAGGGCCATGACCCTCCTGATGGATGAATGGATGATTGGTGCACGGGGGCTGTTGGTTGAAGCAGTGTGTGTCATCACCGTGACTTGCCTGTCCCGCTCACCTGGAGATAGCAATGGCCCTGAAGTCCTTGTGCCCTTCAGAGATGGCCTTCTGGATTGCAGTCCGTTCAGCACAGATGCCCAGTGCATAGCAGGCGTTTTCTACATTGCATCCTGGGAAGAGAGGAGAGCCACTTCCTGCTGCATATGTTGTAAAAGACTCACCCCATTCCAGGATGGGGGGAGGGAGATGGGGACCTGAAGTATAGGAGACTCTTGGGCCCTTATTCAGTGTCCTTCCCCAGGAATGCTCACTGTCTGCATTTCTCCAACACCTCCATCATGGTCGGCTGGCTCCAAGGCGGAAACAGCCTAGGGGACGGGCACAGTGGAGGAAAGCGGCCAATGGGGTGTGTTCCAAAGTGACCTGGGAAACTTTTGCGTCACAGATTGCTTGCCTATTATTTCCTCTCTCTCTGTCTTCCGTAGTCTGGAAGGTGAAGGTGGAAGGGTGGACGGCTTTGGCCGTGTGGTTTATGTCATAAGAATGGAGACATGACAGAGTTGTCTATTTGCCCTGAGTCAACTCCTAATCTGAATTACGACGTAAGAGAAAAACAGAATTCCACACCATGCTTGAATCACTGTTCTTTGGGATCTTTTTGTTATGCAGTATAACTTACACTTGTTGGAAGCTCTCCCTCCTTCCTTTTCCTGCTGTGAGATTTTAGCGCTGTTATACTTTATTACTCTACCTTGCATATTGTGGTGGTGGTTATAAGGTTGGGTGGGGTAGGGAATTATTTAGTTTCTGACCCCTTAACCAGCAGAGTCACATCTGGACCCAAGGAAGAGGGCTACGAAACACTGTGAGACCCTGCTTCTGAGCTGGAGGTGGTGACTGGGTGGGACTCTGGGTCACCTTCATTTCATGGTTTGGATCTAAAATATCCCCCAAAAGTCATGTCTGGAGGTGGGGCCTGGTTGGAAGAGGTGGGACACAGGGCCATGACCTGGAAGAGTATTTCACTGTTCTGGGCTCCTCCCCTCTTTATTTCTGTTTCCTGCCTGCCATGAGGTAAGCCACTTTTCTCTGCCATGCCTGTCCACCATGCCATTGCTACCTCAGAACCAGCTGACCATAAACTAAAACCCCAATACCATGTGCCAAACTCAACCTCACCTACTTTAAATTGTGGACATCAAATACCTTACTCCCAGTGATAGGAAAGCTAACACAGATTTTGGTACCAAGAGTGGGGTTGTTGCTGTGACTGTACCTGACCACATAGTTCAGAGGTCTCTAGAACTAGTTTATGAGAGGAGTTTAGAAAAGTCTGGAGATGCCATCTAGAGAAGCCTTAGAATACTGGAAATAGAGATTGAGGGGAGATTCTGTTTAGAGCTTGGAAAGCCAAAATGTTTATAGGAATGTGTACAGCCTCAGGAAGTTTCAATTAGGAATAAGGACAATATTGGAAACTGGACTAGGGGCCATGCACGGTACATTCTAGAAAAAAAAATTGTCTACATTTTGTCCATGCCCTGAAATTTTGTGTGAGGCTGAATTTATTTATTTTTTTCTCTTTGAGTTTATTGGTACATTTTAGGTATACACTACAGTTACATTCATCATTGGGCTCTTGTACCTTTACATGACAGGTCTTGGTTCTCATTTCTTCCCCATTTGTGAAGCTGAATTTAAAGGTGACGGACTAACTGATCTAGTAGAAGAAATTTTAAGGTGGCCCAATATTCAGGCTGTGGAATGAATACTGATGGCTACTTTTAGCCATATTTATAGTGAGAATAAGAGTAAATGGTAAAGGGCTGGGGATTTAGCTCAGGGGTGCCACTGCCAGCCACTTAAGTGCAAAGTCCTGAGTTCGAACCCCGGTAGGGGGAGGGAGTAAATAGCACAGCCAAAAGATGTGAAAAGTTTGCGGTTTGACCAGAAAGGAAGAGTCTGCAAAGTTGGTGCCATAGAGAGCATGGGTGTTGAAAAGATAAACCAAAACAAGTCAAGTACCTTGCATCATGTTAGGAAAGATGGCTTGAAAGCATCTCAGGAATTGGCCAGACACTTCCCTTTGCAAGCTTATGAGTGTAAATGGGTAAACTCCTTTGAAAGACTTTGCTTTGACAGCCACAGGGTGCCCCTCTCATTGGGGGCCACCAGGGGAACTTCTTCCTCAAGTGCAGCCATCCAGGTACTCAGAGGTCACTGCAGCCATGATTCAAAGGCAGCCTAACATCTGTCAGAGCCAGCAGCAGGCTTTGGCATCATCCATGTGGTACCCGTTTTTCAGGGATGAAAAAAATCCAAGAGTTGTAAAATCACAGAGGTTCACACCCAGATTTCAGAAGAAGGCTTGGAAGGGCAGACAAGAATTGTGATGCAGACATAATCTTTTCCAGGAGACCCTGACAGGGTGATACTTGAAACTTTGAGAGTGAAGCCAAAGCTGCAGTGGAGACTCCAGGAAGGTGGAGATGCAAGGGATGTGGAATGTCTGCTGAGGAGAGCTATAGGCAGTGAGTGGATGGAGTCAGCTCAAGAGAGAGGCCACGTGAGCTGCAACCTAAAATGCCACAGGGATGGGATCACCCGAGGCTTTTGGAGTTCACAGCTCAACACCACCCACCTTAGGTGCTGGACATGGATTTAATATTTTTCCTGATGGGTTTTGGTCTTGCTTTGGTCTGATTCCTTTCCCATCCTCTTATTCTTCTATTTTGGAATGGGGATATTTATTCTATATCATTGTATATTGGAAGGATTTAATTTTCTTTTCGATTTTCACAGGGCCTCACAGCTAAGAGTTTGCCTTGAGTCTCAGAGGAGACTTTGGGTTTAGACTTTTCAACAATGCTGGAACTGTTAAGACTTTGGCAACTCTTAAAATGGACTAAATGCATTTTGCATAATGAGATGGACATGAGCTTCCGGTGGACCGAGGGTGGAATGTTACGGCTCACATCTAATGTCCCCCAAAAGTCATGTGCTTGGAGGTGGGACCTGATTAGAAGAAGCAGGTCACTTGGGACACGACTTAGAAAGGAATATTCTGGATCTGGGCTCCTCTCCTGTCTGTATCTGCTTCCTGGCTGCCTCAAGGTGAGCAGCTTTTCTCTGCTGTACCCTTTTGCCATGCTGTTTCTGCCTTGGAGCCAGCTGACCATGGTCTGAAACCTCCGAACCATGAGCCAAATTAAACCTTTCCTCCTTTAAGTGATGGGAAGGCTGACTAATATACTCCCTTAGGAAAGTGCTAAGTGGGTGCTCTGTGGGATAAAGGACATACTTAAATACTGGCTAAAGGGACAGAGACTGCTAATTGTTCCAACATCCACTCTCCCAATAGACTCCACCTGGCACATGGCCACCCAGTTAAAACTACCTTTCCCAGCTTCCTTTGAAGCTTGTTCTAGTTCTGAAGTTTTAGCCCATGGAATGTAAGCAAAAGTGGTAGGAGTGATAAGCAACTTCTAGGGACATTTTTATGAGAATGCTGCTTGCCTTCTGCCTTGTCTTTCCCCTTTCCAGAGGCTGGAAGTGAAGATATGGCAGTTTAAACTTGCAAATTAAGACAGCAGTCAAGAGCTCGTGGGACGTATAGATAGGGATTCTGATCTCCAGAACCTTGCAGAACATAGCAGTGCAGCCCATATGCCCTGACTGCAGCCCATCTCCCATCTGCTAGAGAGAAACAGGCAGCCACCTTGTCCCATCACTAGATTTTTTTTTCCATTCACTCAGTCTGTTCCTCACATGCCCCTTTTCTAAATCTGAGTCTTCACTGGGACTAGGTAATATTTTGTTCTTCCTGTATTTATCATATTTAGAAACTGGAAGCTGGGCATGGTGGTGCATGCCTGTAATCCCAACATTCAGGAGGCTGAGGCAAGATGATTACCATGGGTTTGAGGCCAGCCTGGACTACACAGTGAGTTCAAGATCAGCCTGAACTACATAGAGAGATCCTGTCTCCAAACATTTAAAAAAATTATAGAAACTGGTCATTATTTCCTTATGTGTTTTTCTAGCCTTCATTATATACACTGGCACACTAAGAGTGGTTAAACTTACCATTTAGCTCATAGCTCTCAGGATCTCAGGTATTCCTGGCTAGAACTGATGGATCTCGAGCCTACCCTAGGCTGGGTGCTGTAGAAAGTCCCCTGCTGGGGTGAACAGTGGTATGTTCACAGCTGGGCATGAGGTGGTTGTATGGCGTTAGTTGGGGACAGGTTTGTAATTCTACTTTGGGAAGAAGGATGGTTGTGTATACTGGGAACCAAAGGCAGATTCTATTGAGCATTGATTATTTTGACAACTTAGCATCTCTCTCTTTCTTTCTCTCCCCTACCCCTCGCTGTGTAACTCATCTCATTTTCCAGTAATTCAGACAGTATTGGGTGCATTCAGGATGATATGGCCATAGATCCTAGCATGTAATTCAAATGGAAGTTGCCACCTCTTGGCCTATAGCCTTGCTATTGACTTAAGGATGGGCCCCTCTCCAATCAGAGTTTTCCCCTATATAGAACTTTGTTTTCTTTCTGAAACTGAGTGTGGGCCACCACTTTTCAATTCATTATGGTTTTTGTTTTTTTTGTTTTTTTTTGGTACCGGGGATTGAACTCGGGTCCTTACACTTGTGAGGCAGGCGGCAGAACCACGGAGCTCAATCCCTGGCCCTTACTTTTCCATTCATTATGGAGCAGATAAGTACAAACAGTGAAATCCAAGACGATGAATGCGAAATGAGATAAGAGATGGTGACGAGAAAGTCTGATCTGAGGCACTCACCCCTCAGGTCTGGCTCTCTCCCACTCCTCCCAGAGTATAGTTACACAACTACCATAATTCATGTGTATTTCTACCACTTGTAGCCACATAGAAATCAGCAGCTAATCCAGTGGGGATATAGGACAGGGAGCAATCAGGAAGGTGTACCTTGAAAGCAGTGGTTAACGTTTATTGAAAGGCTTTGTATGAGTTACTGATGTAGTCAGAGAACACCACAGGGACAAAGGACAAACAGACTCCTGAACCCTTAATCTATTACTCATTAAAAATACAATTGCATTTTCTTTTCAGGCAGTCAGTCAGGAACTCAGAAAGCAGTTTCTGCTAAAACTCATGACTCTTGGGCCTACAAACGCCTAGT